CCCCGCTGCCTGTCCTGGGGTGTCTTTAATCATCCACGTGCCCCTCACGGCTGCTCTTCTGCCAGAGGTAGCCAAGATACTCCCCAAGTCCTTCAGCTGGGACTTCAGGGATCCCTGGCGAAGAGCTGGGCTGCCACTGCTGGAGGAGCCCTCTGGGTATGTGTAGGGTTGGGACCCCTCTGTGTCCCCTTGCAGCTGTGGCCCCTTTGCAGTCCTCAGACCCAGGACCTTTTTGTACCCCCCAGCCATTACTCTTTTCCCCACCCTAAACAATGGCCCCATTGCACCTCCATACAAACCCATGGGCCCTTTGCACCCTCCACCCTCAAAGAGCCATTATCCTGCTGCCCTAAACCATGACCCCTTTGTACCCCCTAAACTCATGGCCTCTCTACACCCCCTCAGAGCCAATACCCTTCTCACCTCCCCAACCATGGCCCCTTTTCCCTGCCAAACCCACATCCCCTTTACACCTCCAATCCATCAAAAAACCCCAACCTCTGCCCTACCTTCCAACCACCATTTCCCCTGTTTTTCCCACCATTTCCCCTCTTTTTTTCCCCCCTATTTTCCCCGCTCCCCAGCTCCCCCCTCCCCAGCTACTGCGGCTATTTCCGCCTGACGCAGGTAGGACCCCCCTGCCGTGGGCAAGGCTGGAGCCGCCGGCTTCACCGGGACAAGCGGGTGTGTGTGGAATGCTGGGGGGGCGTGTCCCACCACCGTCCCCACTGCACTGGACATGGGCTGCAAGGAGCCAGGTAGGTGGTAATTTGGGGGGCGACACACCCAAATGGAAGAACATCTTTCCATATCCCTCAAGCACCTACCTTTTACATTCTTAATATATTCATATATAAAACTATTATAATATGTCATAATATGCCATAATATTATAAGATAAATCAATAATGTGGACTATAAATTGGTAATATATAGTATAAAAATAAATATATTTAAATAGAATATTTCAGTTGGAAGGGACCTACAATGATAATCTAGTACAACTGTCAATAGATATTCTTATACATAATATAAAACTACATATACTTTTAAAATTATATTTAATTATTCGTGGCACATCCCAGTTCTCAACAATTTTCCCTTCCAGGACATTCTGGGTGGCTGCCTCTGTGGTGGGGTGTCAGGGCTCGTGGGTGCAGGAGGGGCTGCAGGAGGATTGTGTCTGCTCCCCACCCGCTCTCATCTTCGTGTAGGATCTCCCTGGGAAGGTGAGCTGAGCCACCCTATGGCACCACTCCATGCTGGGGAGGTGGGGGGATGAAATAAAAATGTGGTGTGTTTTATAATTTTATACCTCTGCAGGTTTGCTGCTCACCCTTGGATCTGACTCCCCGTGTTTACCATTAAATACTTTGTTGAAGAACGGGAAGAAAATCCTTCTTATAAAGATTAAAAATAAGGGAATTGCTAAAGCGTGGTGATTAATGGTAGGAGAACATCACAATGAGGTTAAATGTGGGTGAGAAGATGATACAGCAGTGAGATGATGTCATGCTCAGCCATGACATCATGCCATGCAATCAGCTGTCACTGGCAAGCAACATGAGGATGGAGCGTCCTTCATGTGTGTGAGATCACTCCCTGGGGTGAATGTTGGATGAGCTGGGCAGGGTGACTCAGCTTCGTGCTGTGGTTTGCAGACAGGGATGAAACAGAGACACCCAAAACCTGCATGTGGGTGATGGTGCCAGAAGGCGTCCAGTTCCAGCTGTGGGGCTCAGCAGCTCCCACTGGAGGGAACGAGGCTGAACTGGGTGGTGCTGGTGGGGTCCCTGGTCCAGCCATGGCCTGCAGTACCACAGCCTGTGGTGGGAGGATGTGCTGTGCCAGGGCTGGCTCCTGCCAGGCTGGACAAGGGAGGAGGGAGCCCAGGGTGGGGACAGCCCCAGGTCTGGAGGTGGGAAGGAGAGGGCACCTCATGGAATAGCTGCCCCAGCCTCATCCAATGGGACTCTGGCTGCAGGATGGCAACCAACACTCATCCTCTGGGCAGTCCCAGTGCCTGCAGAGGACTGTCAGCTGCCCAGCTCTCTGTGGAATGTAATGAGGAGGGTTCAGCCAGGCATTGGGTTGTCACCTCCCCATCAGCTGCCTATGGCCATGAGGCAGAGTGGCCCCATGGGGCTGAGGGCTGGGCTTAGGATTTGGGGTTCCTCACTGCAGCCAGTGGCTGTTACCCATTCACTGCCTCGGGATGTGTTTGGCTCCTGCTGTCTGTCGCAGCTCCCTCTCACACCACCCTCCTGGGCAGGGAAACTAAAAGGCTTCAACACCAGCAACGTTCTTGGCCTCTTTATTTGGGATGAAATCCCAGGTTGGCCGTGGACGAAAACACTGGTTAAAAAAACAGCATGAGGAGCTGTGAAGGCTCTGGCATGTTGGGCCCCCCTGCCAGCCAGAGCCAAGGGCAGGGATGCCACGGGCACAGGCCAAGGTGATGTTGCACTGGAGTTCTCAGGTGGACATTAGAAAACACTGGGAACAAAGTGAGTGTGTCCTGCACTGTGTGTGTTTCCCCTGAGTTAAACCTCCAAACCTGCAGGCCTGGCTGGTGGCCAGAGAGAGCATCCAGCAGAGAGAGGGATGTGACTGCAGCGTTTCATGTCACAGCGCTGCATGCCAGGAGGTGTCAGGCAGTCCTAGGTGGTGGTCCCAGCTCTCCTGGTGCATTGCCCTGATTGGGCACGGGGGCCAGCCCGTGCTGCACCAGCAGCCCCTGCACGAGCTCCAGTTCCTGCTCCAGCTCCTGGGTGCCACAGTCCAGCCCTGGCACAGTGGTGGCACCTTCCCCCAGTACCTGCAGCACCCGTACCACCAGCCGCGCCCTCACCAGGAGGACGGCCACGGCTGTGTGGAGTTTGGCACAGCCCAGCGCCTTCATCTCCCAGCTGGCAGCAGTCCCTGTGGAGAGAGAGAGGATGAAGGAGCTGCAAGCATGGTGGGTCTCTCAGGGAAGAGCTGGTCTGGGGACAAGGACACCAGCTCGCTTGTCCTGGGGGCTCCACACTCGCCATACCTCGGCTCCAGCAGTGCTTGCAGTACCGCAGTTCCCGCAGCACACCGGGGCCTGTGGCTTCCAGCCAGTGCAGAGCCGAGGCACGGAGTGGGCTGCCAGCGGGCACCTTCTCCAGGAGCTGCATCAGGATGGGGAGCAGCTGCTGTGCCAGGACGGCTGGTTCTGCAAAAACGTTGGGTTCGTCCTCCTTGTACAGGCTGGCAGCTCTGGGGGGAAAGGCAAGGCATGAGTGAAGCCAAGGGCCGGCTCCAGGGTACTCTGCACTCCTCCATACCAGCCCACAGCTCACTTGTTGGCCTCCAGCTCCTCCACAATGCTCCTGAGATCTAAGATGGGGAGGTGCTGCAGCAGTGAGTTGAAGGTCTCAGGGTGCTCCCCGAATTCTCCCAGAAGGAGCTGCAGGAGGCTCTGGAGCCCCACGTTGTCCTGCACAAAGGTGCAGCCATCTCGGAGTGGCTCCCTGGGGTTCTGCCACAGGAGGCTGGCGAAACCTGAGGCCTGGTGCCGGACCTCCCGCTCCTCATCTTGCAGAAGGTGAATGGCCATGTTTATCAGCCTGGAGAAAGGGAAGAGAAGGACACTGCACACAAAGTATCCCAGCCTGCCTGGAGGGGAGGAAGCACTCAGTCTCTGTGAGTCCCTGAGGGACTTTTCTTCTGGACTGTGAAAGGCACAACCAGCACTCAAGAACTTACAGTTTAGGAGGGCAGGGACTATGCCAGGGATTGAGGGACCCAGCAGTGTCATCTGCTGCTCATAAGGGATGGGCTGCTTCTATTAAAATGCCAACCACGCATTTTTTTGTAGGCTGCAAGTTTTTGGGTGCCAGTGACTTTTGAATGAGTGGGGTTTTCTTCAATGAGTTTTTTGCAGGGGACACCTTTTTCAGAGTCACACTGGGGCTGCAGGGAGCAGGGCTGCTGGGAACGGGGCTGCAGCCACGGGGCAGCACCGCTCCTGTTAAGTGCAGTGTCCTGTTAAGTCCCCGGGGATGGGCTCAGGACCTACCGCAGAGCCACGGGGACCAGCGAGGGCCGGGCAGCTCGCAGGGATCGCCGCACCACAGCGGCCCCCGCCGTCTGCAGGGAGCGGGCGGCCGCCAGCCGCAGCACCTCGCACGAAGCAGAGCGGCTGCACTCCTCCAGCGCCGTGCACCAGCGCTCCACCAGCCGGCCGTCCTCGTCCCCGAACCTGCCAGAGGCCAGGGAAGGAGAGGGAATTCAGGCACACCTTCCCGCTTCAGCCGGGGGAACAGAGTCCACCAGCGGCGCTGAGATCGCAGGACCCAGGAGCAAAGCTGTGATTTATACAAGTCATGGCTCTGTTTCCAGAGCCATGGACTAAGTCCACTCAGGACTAAGAATCTGCTGGGTGAGTCAGGCAGCAGCAGGGACCTACCAGTGGGTGAGCAGCAGGCTGGCAGCACAAAGCGCCTGGAAGAGGAGGTCGGGGCCAGGACACTCAGCCTCCACCATGTGCAGCAGCATCTCCAGGCATGCTGCCCAGGAGCCCTGGAGCTTATGGGAGGCTTCCTGAGACCATGACGACGGATCTCTGTAAAGATGCAGCAAAGCCTCAAGGTACAATCTCAGGAACTCCTTGTCCCTTCTCTCTCGCAGCACCGACCGCAAGCTGTCCTAGTTGACAACGGGAAAGAAGGTACATGGTTAGTGGTCCCAGCACTGTGGGGTGTCAGCCAGGCAAGTGCCCCACACCCACGCACCCTCAGCCTGGGGAACACTGTGCTTCTCAGGGATCCCATCTGTGTGGTGCACTGGGGACCCCCTGTTTTACTTGGTGACTTTTTGAGCCTTGTCATACCAGCAATGTCAGCCCGAGAGCCTTCTCCAGCTCCTTGCATGTTCCTCCCTCCCTGGCGACCACCCAGCTCAGGATGGCAAGCTGGACATCGGGATTGGGCTGCTGGAGAAGGGAGCAGACAGCAGCAATCTGCTCGCTGCCTGCCAGCCGAGCTGCCTCGCTGCACATGAAGTGGGCCATGGTTTGGTGGAGAACAGCCAAGCCAACCTGCAATAAAAACCAGGATTCCCCTAACACTGCTCAGCCTCGAGTGAGCGGTCCTTGCTCCCCGCCCAGGCTCACTGCCGGTCTGGCCGTGGCCGTGATTTTCCCGGCAGGCAGCGGTACCTGTGGCTCGGCACAGCCTGGCTTTCCCCCCAGCAGGGGGCTGCCCAGCTCGATGCTGATGGAGTCACGGATGTGCCGGGCGAAGCTGGGGCTGAAGGATGCAGGGAGGAGGGCGAGGACCTGGAGGAAGGCGGCGCGGACGAGCGGGCAGCGTTGGGCAGGGGTGAGCAGCCAGCCCCGCTCCTCCAGCTGCAGAGCCACGGGGTGCAGCACCTCGGCCGACAGCCTGTGGGGAGACACGGCCTTACCACGGGCGCAGTGCCGGGCTGGGAGTCCCTTCTGTGGCCAGAAAGCTGTGTCTTGGCACGCAGTGACCACAGGGCCTGCAGGTGGGGAGCCAGTCTGGCACCACGCACCCCCCGGTGCCCGTGGCAGAGGCCAGCAGTGCCCGCATCTGCAGCAGGTGCCCGTGGACAGCGTTGTGCGAGCAGATCCGTTCAGGTGCCGTGGGGAGCTGCCGGGCGAGCTGCAGGAGGAGCCCACGGCGCTGGGGCGGTGGGACAACAGGCACCAGGGCCTTGGCAGCCATCGCTCGCACGGCGTAGATTGGGCTCTCTGCCAGTCCCAGCAGCGGCCCCAGGAAGGGAGCAGAGAGGCTGTGGAGCAAAAAGGCACCATGTGGTGATGCTCTAGTCAGAGCAAAACCCCCTGAGAGCCAGGGCCACCCCCACCAGCACAGGATCCCCTCCCACTTTAGGAGCCCTTGGTTGAGGCAGAGCATCTTCACTGCCCCCCCCTACCTGCTGGAACCATCAGCACCAGGATGCAGCTGGGCCAGGAGGGTGAGGATGGCGTGGAGCGCAGGATGCAGGCGGGGCCCCCCTTGCGTGGGCGTTGTGGCCACCCTGAGCTCATCCAGCAGCACAGCGCCCAGCTTTGGGTGCTGCCCGAGGAAGGCAGGCAGGCTCACCCCCTCCGCTGGGCAGCCCTCCCCGTGGCTCCGGGGCTGCCCCAGCAGCCGGGACGTGAGGGCGCCTGCAGGGACAGGGAACGCAGCGTCAGGTCCCATCCAATCCTGCCTGACCCCTGCACTTCACCCCAGCGGGGCTCTGAAACCCGGGGGGTGTGGGATCTCTCCCTGTCAGTACTCACTGAAGAGCTGGATGGCCGCGTTCCTCATGGCCCAGCACGGCGAGCCCAGGCCCCGCAGCGCCAGGGCCATCATGGGTGTGGCGTGGCACAGCACCGCCCCGCCCAGCCCCGTGCCCCGCACCAGCGTCTGCAGCACGTGGAGGGCACACACCTGGGGAGAGCGAAGGGATCAGCATCATTGGGCAGGGAGGGCATCTGTGCTTCCACGGGAAAGAAAGATGGTGGGAAAAGACAGGGGAGCCAAGGGGTCAGTGCTGGGCTGGGCAGCACGGTCAGGGCTGTGGGTTTTTGCTCACTCTGAGGTCTCCATGCCAGCACCGGGTACCCAGCGCGGCTCCCTTCAGGGGACCTTGTGCAGATCGCCCTGTCCCCAATAGGTTCCAGCAGCCAGGAGCCCCACACCCACCTGTGGGAGGTCGAGTGTCTGGTCCCAGTCCTGTGGCAGTGGCGTGGTGGCCAAGGCCAGCAGTGTCTGGATGCAGCGGGTCAGCAGCGGCCGTGCCTGCGCCGGG